GCTGGGCCTTTCCCGGGCATGGGCTGGCCAGGGAGACGGCGGAGGCCCCGCTCGGTGACCTGCCCTCGCTTGGAGGGGATGTGCTGGGTCCTGCTGCGACAGGGGATCCGGAAATGCAGTCAAGGACTCAGCTCCAGCCTGAGCCTGGGGCCCCCTGGCCTTCTGGAGAGCAAACGTGTGATTGGAGGAGAATCCGCGATTTATTGTTTTGCAACCAGCCCCCGCTCTGTCTTAACACGAGAGCCCATTCAGAGAATCCAGCAGCTCTACACGTAATTACTGAGCAATGAAATAAACAACTTACATTGTAACAAACAATATAGTAACACCTTCAAAACTAACAAAACATGTAGGTGATATCATGAGCTTTTGCGGGCACAACCCACTTCTTCAGATGACAGATGAAGAAGTGGGTTGCGCCCGCGAAAGCTCATGATATCATCTACGTGGTTTGTTACTCCTTAAGGTGCTACTAGACTATTTGTTGTTTTTTAAGTTTTTCCTGCTACAGACTAACTCAGCTACCCCTCTAAAGCTTTTCTACATTGTAACCTAAGTCATATCACAAGTCTTGAGAGAGCTAAAACCCTGCCAAGCTGCTAGGTCAAGCTGGTTGTAGGATTTGACAGATGTACTGGTATACATTTCATTTGCAGTGTGCCCTTTGCAACCATATGGGTTAGAGCAGTGGTCACTAACCACTAGATCTGGATCTACTGGTAGATCTTGGAACCTCTGAAAGATGATCCTGACCAGTTTGGCAAGTAGGCTATCAAGTTTTGGCACTTCATCTGCCCCTCTCAGCACTGCCTACTGTTCCTGCCCTCTACCTAGTAGGTGTTCCCACCCCTGGCAGCTCCATGCTTGCTGTACAGGGCACAGAAGAAGAGGAGGAGGGTGCTAATGTAGGGGTACCTCTCCTCTCACCCAGTACCCCATCCCCACAGAGCAGAGGAGGGGCAGGGATGGAGAGAGTTTGCTGGCTGCTTTCAGGAGTGGTGCAGGGCCAAGGTAGGGGTGAGCCTGCCTTAGCTTCCTGCACCAACGCCCAGAAGCCAGCTGTGGTAAGCGGTGGCCAGCTAGAGCCAGCATTCCCAACCCTGGCCCCAGTCCCGAATCCCCTCCTGCACCCCAAACACCTGCCCTAGCCCTGAGTCCCTCTGCATCCAAACTCCCTCTCGGAGCCTGCACCATAAACCTTCTCCTGCACTTCAACTCCTTGCCCCAAGCTTAACTCAAGAGCCTCTCCCACTCCAAATCCTTTAGCCCAAGATCAGTGTCTGCATCCCCACCCCAACCCTTTGCCCCCAGCCTGATAAATATGAGTGAGGCTAGAGGAGGGAGGGAGAGTGAGTGGGGGTCGGGCAATGGAGAAGGGGCACAAAGGAGGCGGGGCAAGCGTGTTTGGGTTTGAGGTAGCTCCTGGATTGCATTTAATTTGAAAAGGATGGAGACCGCTGGATAAGAGACATATTGGTGCACAAGACGGCAACCATCAAAGAGAAATACAGGTTGCTCAGTTGCTGCCAGTCAACCCCATGCAGAGACATTTCCCACTGTGCTAAGAATGCAAAGGAGTGCAATACTTTCCATTAATATGGGAGGAAGAAACACTGAAAAGCTTTGGGAAGGAAAAAGAATGGCAGGAATAGTATGACACTGTGCAACAACCTGCCATGGAAATAATACTGGTAATGGGATATGAGATGAATAACCGAGTACAGACACATAGCCAAGTTAGTCAGAAGTCCTTGTAGAACCTACCATCAGTACCATGCCAGTAAAGATGTTTTGTTGCCATGCATACATTCTTTGTTGGTGGAATAGAGAGGAGGAGATTGAATCTAAGATTAGCTACACAGGGTACATGGGAAAAGGCTCTTGTTTACTTTCAGATTTAAGCTACAAAGAGGCTTCCTTGGGGTGTGCTGTCTGGCAGGAGAGGCAAGCAACTGCCTTTTAGAAGAAAAATATGAGGTGTCCTTCTTTGTGGGGCTTTGATCTTATACATCCTTTCCTCTAGGAATAAGTCAATCCTTCCAGTGTGATTTAACTCCTGAATTTGGGACTTGACTTTTTTAGAGTGTTCTAATAATGGAACTACCCTTGTTCTCCGTGCTCTTTGCCATAACCCTTTCTCTTTTCTGCAGCTCTGAAAAGACTGAGAAAATCTGCCAATGCTAACGATTTAGAAACAGGTGAGACTGCACCAGCCAGGTCTACTCAGAACTTTTTCCTGGAAGCAATAGGCTTTGTAGAAGATAAATGGAATTAGTTTGTCGAACCTGCAGTTCTGACCTTGCACATGCATAATTAGTTTAACTCCCATGTTTCATTCTCCTGGTAGAGCCAGGCTGGGTGTAAAATTCACAGTATGCCCCATCTAGCATTTCTACCCTCTCCAGGTCATAGTGCCAGTTGTTGCAGCGTGTCTTAAGCTAGACTAGCTTTTTTTATTCCAACTTTTAAAAAATATATTTGATAGAGACTTCTGAGACGGTATCAACAATAGTAGCATGTCCTATGGAGAGTGACAGGAGAGCAAAGTTCTTCTTGGAAGAAAGACAAGTGATGTTGCGTTGCACAAACAGTCTGTTATGAACCAAAATGGCATACCAGAGAGGGGACCAAAACTCAGACAACACAGATTCTGTTCCTGCCTCTGCTACGGTTATTTGTATGACCTTATCACCTAACTATTCCAGTAACAGACTAGGATCCCATGGTGCTAGGTGCTATACAAACAGAACAAAAAGATGATCCTTGCCCAAAAACAGTTTAACCACTGGAACAATTTACCAAGGCTCATGGTGGATTTTCCATCACTAACTATTTTTAAATTGAGGGTTGATTTTTTTTAAATATACCCTATAGCCTGTGCTATACAGGAGATCAGAATAAATGACCACAGTGATCCCTTTGGACCTTGCAATCTAAGATTCTGATTGCTTCAATAATATCCCATGGCTGCACGTTGTACTCATTACTCCTCCACATAAAGAAATATTCCCTTCTCGGCTGAGGAACAGAGGTAGTCTAAGTTGCACAAGGGTCACCCTTCCATTAGCATTGAAGAGATAATTGGATGGATAGGAAAAGGGGATCCTTTTCCATCATCAGTCTTATTCCCATATCTATGCTCTAGCACTCATCTGGTTGCATGTCTCATAGCTACCCTACTGATCAGCTTTCCCTCCCAATTAACACTCTCTCTCCTTTTCTCCTTTTCGGCGATGTCAGTGCAGCAACTCTTAGAAGATGGGGTTGACCCCTGTGCTGCAGATGACAAAGGCCGTACAGCCCTGCACTTTGCCTCCTGCAATGGCAATGATCGCATCGGTGAGTGGGAAGGAACTGTTCCATGACCTGACTTCCTTGTGGGAGGGGTTTTGAAGGAATCTATGCATTTCTTTGTGTACCTGCCTAAAAGCAGTGTTTCCCCTTTAGTCTCTTACATAGGCATGTGCTGCCTCTGAAGATCACCTTTACTGCTTAGTGTGAGGAAGGCTGACTCTTCCTTCTCAAACTATGTCTACGCTACGAGCCTCTTCCACAAGAGGAAATGAAAATGGAGCACTCATTTGCATATGTCACACTCATTTGCATTTTCTTCACAGATCCCTTTTGTGCAAGAGGTTTTTGCACACACAAAAAGCACAAAAAGGGTTTTTTGCGCAAAAAGGCACAGTCTACACAGCGCTCTTTTGCGCAAAAACCTCTTACGCAAAAGGGAAAGGAAGAGGAAATGCAAATGAGAGCAGGACATATGCAAATGAGCACCCCATTTGCATTTGCTCTTCCGCAAGAGGCTCATAGTGTAGACTTAGCCTCAGACCTGCTGGGCACAGGGAAGAGACTGAAATGGGTCCGTTTCTTTGTTTCTAGTGCAGTTGCTTTTGGATCATGGGGCAGACCCAAACCAGAGAGATGGACTGGGGAACACTGCATTGCACTTGGGTAAGTGTCAGGAGCTTGAAATGGGGGCTTCTGTAACCTGATGATCTTTGTGCCCAGAGTTGTAAAGAACCCTGTTAGTTTTCTTCCTTTCTTTCCTCCTCTATATTGTGGCAACAAATCCCTGTGCTGGATTCTTTGGCTTCCATCAGCTTTGTTCTTTAATTGAAAGCTTAAGGGGCAGAGCTGAGGGAAGTGCATCTCCTTCCTCCTGCAGGCCTGTTTCAGAGACTATCCAGCATGCTGGCAGACTCTGTAAAGCCTGATCATTGAGCAGGCTTCAAAGGGGGAGTGCTGCCTTACCCCCTAACAGAGAATTGCCTGTGCTGTTGTGCCCAGCAGGCTTAATATTTGATAGGATCCCCTTCCCTGGACTGTAGCTCTGCTCTGAGTAGTGTGTCTCAGCCTGTGCTGTTGTGCCCAGCAGGCTTAGTATTTGATAGGATCCCCTTCCCTGAACTGTAGCTCTGCTCTGAGTAGCGTGTCTCGTGTTTTCCCTTCCCAGCTGCCTGCACAAACCATGTTCCCGTCATCACCCTGCTGCTGCGTGGAGGTAATGCTTCCTCTTTACAATTTATAAAGCTACCTCCACCTCTTTGACCTTCTCCCAGGGATACCACTCTTTTAAAGCACCCTCTCTCCCCCCATACATGTGCACCTTTCAGGAGCCAGAGTTGATGCCCTGGATCGAGCTGGGCGGACCCCGCTGCACCTCGCCAAGTCCAAGCTGAACATCCTGCAAGAAGGGCTCTCTCAGAGCCTGGAGGCCGTGCGCCTTGAAGTGAAGCAGGTGAGAAGCATTTGTGCTCTCTGATACCATGTGCATTAGCACTCCAAGCACTGACTTTCTTCGGTGCGCTCTGTGGGACAAGTGGGTTTTAGTAACTGCCTCAAGTGCATCGCTTGAGTACCTTAGCCACTCCAGCATGCTGATAATTCCAGGGCTTCTGATCTTCTCCCTCCCATGCTCTGACAATCCACCTCTCCTTGCCTCTGGAGAGCATCTACCTCAATACCACTTAGAATTGTTGCAGGATCTCTCCATGGCTTGTGGGCCCTAGAATGCACTAAATGGCAGCTAGTGAAACTAAGAAATGGAGATATCTGGCTGTAGGAGGGACCTCTTAGAAATCCCTTATGTTCTCCCAGATGAGGCTAGCTGGTTAATAGGAACAATAGTGCACTTTCCTGGAGCATTGGAAGGCAGACCCTGAACCCCCATTTGTCCAAGTTCACAACTCGGTCATCAGAGGAGAGGAAAAGGAGGAGATCTGGGAGAAAGCAGCAAAAATTTCTTACCCAGCGAACCTCCTAGGGATTTTGGTTCTGTCGCACCATTATGTTGTAATAGCCATGGATTGAATGACCAGCCTGTTTAGAAAAGCTCAGCATCTGGGTAATATGCAGCTTACCTTCTGGTGACGCACTGGACTGTGCTTATAGAAATGGCACTGTGCAGCTTAGCTTGGAGCTTAGCTCTGATCTCCTTTGGGGATGCCTACCCCTAGACCTCAGAACTGCTTGTGGCAGGACAGCTAATAGCCTGCCTGTCTGCTGCAGGTGCCCCTCTGTCCCTTGTGCCACCAGTGTCCTGCCCTGATTACAGCTCTCCTGTGCATGCATCTCACTGTGCTGCCTCTTTCAGATTATCCAGATGTTGCGGGAATACCTAGAGCACCTTGGGCAGCATGAGCAGCGGGAGCAGCTGGATGATCTTTGCTCCAGGTTACAGATGACCAGTACTAAGGAGCAGGTGAGAGGCAGCAACAGTGACTCCCATATTGCATTGTTGGCTTCACATATACATCTAAGAGGAAATAGACAGCTTCAGTAGGGTAACATCCAAGACTGGGAACAGGATACAGGCACATTCCTCTCCATGCCACTGGTCCATATTAGAGCCCAGAAGTAATGATAGAAAGATCCATGGTACCCTTAACGGCAGCCTCAACAGAGAGGTCAGAGATCAGATGGGCTGAGAAGACTAAATTTCACCACTCATCTACGCAGATGGGTACTTCCAGGCAAGGAAGCAATACAGCCAGCATTATTCTCAGTCTTCCTTTTCAGTCCCTGCTTGTCCTGTGATAACAATTTGCACTGTATCTCCCGCAGGTGGATGAGGTCACTGACCTCCTGGCCAACTTCACCTCACTCAGTCTACAGATGCAGAAGATGGAGAAGAGGTAATGGGCTTTCAGATCGTTCCCCTGGTCAACAGGAGATGACCTGGGGATGGGCAGCTGGAGCTCATTGCCAAGATTATGGACATTGCTGCCGGATACCTTGCTCCTGCTGGATCCTTCCCCGGTGTAGCACTCAACTCTCAGACTATCCCCTCCAGTGCTGCCAACATCACCACCTCCTGAGGTTCCTAGAAGGACAGTTGAATGCTGGAGCTCCTGACTTTTGGAGCAATGGGCCCCTCTTTCCTATCATCCTGTTCTTGATCAGATGATTTAATGAACATGCTGGTTTGCGTGGCATGTCCCTCTTTTGTGCATTCTGCCTTCCTCACAGCATCCCAAGCTCAGAGTGGTTGGCACTCAGAGTGCCCCTGGTCACCAGCCACACCAAGGTGCATTCAGGCAGTTCCATCTTTCAGATGTGCCTTTGCGCACAGATCTGACTTTACTAGGCACCATGGGACATAATTACCATAATTAGTTGCATAAGATGAGTAGGTTTGTTCATACGTTGGGAGACTATGACTTCCTGTACTCACCAGAAATGAAGATGGAAATTCAGCAGAGTTCACTGAGCATTTGGTTGGAATAGGTGGAATCAGGAAAAAAAAATCATCTGGGGTCTTCATCTTCAACTCCCACAGGTGTCTATCAAAAAAGGAGTTTTTCGATGTGAGACAGGGATATAAAGCTATCCGCCGCTAGATTGCGGCTTCCTGTCTGATCCCTGCTCAAATTACTGAAAATTTCTGACCAGAGATCACACCAATGGGTTTGTTAAAAAAAAAATTACCACCAGATTATTACTGTCCAGTTTACAGAGTTTGGGGAGGAGAGGTCAAGAAGAACACTCCTAGTTCAGTTCTAGGCGGAAAATATTTATACCCTACAAAACAGCACCATGGCTGGCTTCAGGCTTCCCTTTTATCAGCAGTCTGAGCCAGGAGGAGATCAGGCCTTGATTTGAGCCATTAGCATAACGCACCTTTCCACCTCAAACAGCTGACGAGTATCTGAGACCTAAGCCAGATTGCTAAGACAAGGACAAATGTACGTTGTTGCTGCCCATGTTGTTTCTCTAAGCCTTGGACTAAATTAGATGCTAGTGTGAAGGTCTACCAAACAGACACATTTCATCAGGGCTCAGTTCATTTGAGGGGAAGGGATCTTAACTGAGTTTAATGTGCTGGATGAACTGTGATGCCCACAAAAGGCCCAAAATGGGGAGCATGAAAAGGACGCAGGGAGTAGCCACAGGATAGCATGTTCTTTGACACTTGTTGGGGTGTGGTCATTTATAAGAGCTGCATGGATTCTGTGCAGCTAGTTCTTTCCCTGAATCATGAACATTCCAAGATGTGGTTTAGATCTGGAGGACAACAGGATCAGATCCTATTTAGTAACAGGTGCTTCTCAGTCTGAGATGAGATTAACTAGATGTGTATATCCAAAGCGTGGCTTTCGTCCCGACACATGAAACTTAGAGCAGTCTGTATGCCCCTGCTGGGGAGGGAAGTTTGGGATTGACTGTGTTCTGATTTTGCTGGAGCTGTCACTGTGAATGTTAAAACATTGTTCCCACATGCTGGCTAGAAGAGACACACAGGGGGTGGACGACAAACTGAACTCTTACATTTTACATTCAATAAAAAACTGTCAGCTTTTTTGGAGTCTGTCACCAGTTCTCTCTTCTCAAGGATTCCCATCCCTGCCTCCCTCCATCTCCTGTGCCTGGGGCCTGACACTGGACTCAGTAACAACTTCTCTTAAAAAGCTGTGTTGGAATTAAAGATGACAGTGTGGAGTTGCCGTGAGCACAAATGTGGGCCTATTTGCTGACCACTGGACCCTGCTGCTGATTCACCTGGTCTTAAATCCCATTGCTGGGGAGTCCAAATATAGGGATTTGCTGTAGGTCCTACAAAAATTCCAGTGTGTTGTAGGGCTCCATGCCGAGGCTATCTTGCACTCTGGAGAGAGAAAAACACTGCTCTTGGGTCACTCCTGATTTGAGTTAGCACTGGCATGCAGAAGGAAGGGAGAAAACATGGTTAAGTCACCAAACTGTGCCAAATGAAAAATGATACCCCATGCTGCAGTGAAGACTGACATTGATGGCCACATACTAAAGATCACAGGGGAAAAAGCTGAAGAGTGAAGTAGGGAATCAAGGGAGGTGCAGCTAGATGGGATGTTGGGGGGGAGGGGCTTGCCACTAGATTGGTTTGCAATCAAGTGCTCTTGCTGATAAAATGTTTTAGAGGAATTAAACCCTTTTAAATGGGGAGCAGACCAGTCACGTGGTACAAGTTGCCCTTCACAGTCTGCTTTTCTACTACAGTCCAAGCAGATGACAGATCCCCAAAGGCCAAGCTGGCACCAGAGCTCACAAGTGACATTCTTCATGGCTGTTTCCCTGGCCTGAGAGCAACACTTACATTTCTGTCATCCAACCATGCACAGTCCAGGGCTAGAAAGAGTCAACCTATCATCCTGCTCAGTCTGTCAGTCCTCATCTGACGCAGATCCTTTATAGTAAGCTAGAACAATTAGAAGGAGTGGCTATGAATGTAGAAATTATATCTTTATCATGCTTTACTGTGTCAGCAGAACCTCATTTCCTTTAGCTGTCCTGCCTACGATGCCTTTTATGAATCACTTAATAGGATCCCAGTGCTTTCCCTTGGTGGAAAACCTTAGGCTACGGCTACACTGTAGCCTTCTTCCGGAAAAGCTTATGCAAATGAAATGCGGCGTTGAATACTGCATGTTTCATTTGCATAATTAATTAGGGGCCGCTTTTGCGCAAAAAGGAGCTGTTTAGACAGCTCTTTTTGCGCAAAAACCCCTCTTGCGCAAGAGCCGTTCTTCCTGAAAAAATTAGGAAGAACAGCTTGTGTGCAAGAGGGGGGTTTTGCACAGCTCCTTTTGCACAAAAGCAGCTGCTAATTAATTATGCAAATGAAGCACGCGATATTCCACGCTACGCTTCATTTACATAAGTTTTTCCAGAAGAAGGCTACAATGTAGCTGTAGCCCTAGTGTGCATCCCTAGTTTTCGTAGAACTCTTCAGTGGCAGCTTCAGGCACATCTTACAAATATAAGTTTTTCCTGAATAAGAGCTGAACATGAATAACCCCGTCAATACAACTGCTCCCGTGTTGTTTGTTACTGAATTCAGCTTTACAATGTTCTCACACAAATGTTCATCAGATTTCAGAATTAACTCAAACGAATAGCACAATTGGCACCATTCAGAGCTACTGGACTAGGCTGCCTGAGGCCCCAAGTTCCACACAATTCCCATTTTTAAGCTTTTCTCACAAGCAAGAGATCTGAGACACTTTTACATGTCAGCTGGAATTCAGCAGTAAGGAGCGAATTCCACATTAACTGAACATGCAGCGCCCAGCCTTTTGGACTGACCTGAGCACTTAAAGCCAGGCCCATGTGTATAGGACAAGCCATATGACCTCTCAGCCAGTGCCACTCAGTTTGAGGGATGGGTTTATCAAAGCACATCTGGTGTACAGATGCAACATATGGCTGCATTTCATCAAGATGCAGGAGCCCATCTGTGACTACATACAGATACTATGGAGAAATTATAAAGATGCCAACGAACAAAAGGATTTACTCCAAAGCAGCTATTCCCCATGTATGATTACAAATGAATGTGAAACACACTCCAGCATGTGCTGGTACATGCCCACGCAGTAATACCTCTCCCTCTTCAGCTGCTGAAATAATTAAACTCTAGGGCTTTAATACAACTATCTCTTCAGGAGAGAAAACTACATTACTCCCATCCTCCATCTCCCTTCACTACCTTCCTACTGATCTCCAAATCCAAGTAATTATCTTTGTTTCCAAAAATCTCCATGAAGCATGTTCAGTAGTCCGTCTCTGACCTTTCATCTGCCTCTGTCTGATCACTCAGTACGTGTGTCTGATTTTTTTTCTACCAGAAGATCCATGCACAACAAGTATTTTTCCTTCATAGAGCTGGGGCAGCCTGGGAGAGCAGCCCCTGGGAGCTCTGAGCCCACTGATGAATCAAGTGTGCGTAGCCAGAATTTGATTAGCAAGCAGCTAAAGGAGAACTGGCAGATAGAGTTGACTTAGATTTGTCTGAAAGCTTCTGAGAGAGTTCATAACGCGTAGTTATTAAGATGATACAGTAGACAGTTGAGATGATCCTGGATGAGGAAAATAAGAGATTGAAAATAAAGGGTAGGAATTTATGGCCAATTTTGTGGCTAATATTTAATAATAGGGCGTCGCAAAGCTTCAGTATTTAAACATTGCTGGCCCAAGCGACAGGGATGCCATTTCAGATGGGGCGAGGGGCAGTTTTAACCATGATTCCATTCCAGAGATTACTTAGGCACCTGAAAACTCCTGGGTTTTTTGCATTTAATAATTTAGAAATTGACAGGAATAGTGTTCCTAATTCTTATAGAAGTAAAGAATGGCTGGTAGAGTCCCCCCTGTGCTGGACCCCAACCCAGGGTCCTCCCTGCTGCTCACCACACCCAGCTCCAGTCCCAGCTCCACTTTCTGCTGCGCTGCCTCCAGCTCCTGGGCTGCTCCTCTGGCTCCATGGCAGCAGCCCTGCTCTCAGCATCATGGATTAGCTGCTGGGCTGGGTCTCTGGCTGCCATGATTCCTCCCCAACTCAGCTTAGGGCCCTGCTCTCTCCTTAGCAATAGAGCCACTCTGTGACCCAGGAAAACCCAACTCAACCACAGAGCACGGATTACAGGACTCTCCCCCAGTCTCCTCACTCTCTCATTGGCCTGCCCACTCTGTCAATCAGGCTGTCCTGGAGCATTAGCCTCTTCCCATTGTTGCTGGGGCCTGTCAGTCTCAGGATCGTAATTTCTCAAAAACCCTTCCCCTTCCTTCTGACACTCTGAGCTAACCAACCAAACCCCACCCCCTCACTGAGTTTTAGTAAGGGGCCAATAGACCCCTTGGCTGCGTCTAGACTGGCGAGTTTTTCCGCAAAAGCAGGTGCTTTTGCGCAAAAACTTGCCAGCTGTCTACACTGGCCGCCTGATTTTTCGCAAAAGCGCTGACGTTCTATTGTCTCAAATCAGTGCTTCTTGCGCAAATGCTTTGACGTTCCCATTCAGGGAAAAGCCCTTTTCCAGAAATGTATTTGCGCAAGAGGGCCAGCGTAGACAGCTAAAAACTATTTTGTGCAAAAAAGCCCTGATGGCGAAAATGGCGATCGGGGCTTTCTTGCGCAAAACTGCGTCTAGATTGGCACGGATGCTTTTCCGCAAAAAGTGCTTTTGCAGAAAAGCATCTGTGCCAATCTAGACGCTCTTTTCCACAAATGCTTTTAACGGAAAAATTTTTCCATTAAAAGCATTTGCGGAAAATTATGCCAGTCTAGACGTAGCCCTCAGTTATATTCTCAGTTACAAAAATAGATACACAAAGTCCTGTTTCCCTGAACTAAGTGGAATCAAACAGCAACAACAGACAATTTCATTGCTCAGAAATCCCCAAATCTAACACTCCAACTAGCTCTGTGCCCAAGAAGCCTTGTCTTCCTGCTTCCTCTCAGATACATGTTCATATCAGCTTCTCCCAACATTTGGCCCTCAAGGCTCGCAGCCTGCAACCAATATTCTAGTCCCTGCATTTTCAACCAGGGCCATCCCTCAGGCCATGAACTTAGCTCTGACTTGCCATGCAGTCTAGGGCCCAAAGTGGTACCCCCAAAGCCTCCAGTTGTATTTAATACATTGTCAGGGCTATTCTCCACTTGAGCACTCCAAGTGCAGAAAATGGGGGCTCACAAGAGACTTTAAATACCTTGCCTCTATAGATTCTGCTTACGAAAACTCCCCAGAGTCATAGATTCAATGACTTTGGGAGGTAGCTGCCAACATCAAGGGATTTAAACCCCGAAAAACAGGAAGAAACAGTTGAATTCCTTCACCAGGGGAACCCCAAGCTCTTTTGCCATAAGAGAGCTTGGGGAAAAAAAACCCATAAAAACAAACTGTTTCTCTGACAGCTGACCTTTCAGGCTAGCAGGCATATATACACACAGACTGGTTACCTTCCAGGACACGAGTCAAGTCATTGCTTTAAAAAGGGTGTTAACAAAAAGATATACTTAATAAAGCAGACTTGGTTGCTAGGTGTTACAGAACTGAGAAAAACAAATTAAAAACACAGAGTATGTAGTCTTTCTAGATACAGCTGAGCTAGTAAATGGGGGAGGGAGGAAGACAGCACATAGATTTTGCACAGAGAAATGTAACCAAACAACCAAAACAAAGACAAATATCTTGATCGTGACTAAATATACTTTTTCTCCCCTTATTTATTCACAATTCCTTCTCAGGCCAGTCTACTCCTATGCCCAATATTCCTTGTAGGGACGGTAATTCTGATTACTGTCTGTTGCTCCCTCCAGCCCTTAATGAGAAGACACACACAAAAAAGAGCAGACCAGGTATCTGTATACAATTCAAATTTCAGCACTGTATCCCATTGGTTCTTCTGGCCTCCTGCCAACCCCCCTGCTAGTGACCTGAGTTTAACCCTTTACTTACCAAGTGCTGGCCAGCTCTCCTCCTATCCATCACATACATGAAAGGACTTTGCTGCTGCTTCTGTGGAATCTGACAAAATGCTTG